AGCCTCAACCTGCTGGGCTCAGGTGATCCTTCCGTCTCAGCCTTTCAAGTAGCTGGAACTATAGGCATGTACCTCCATGCTTCGCTAATTTTTTGATTTATTGTAGAGATGAGGTCTCGCTGAATTGCCCAGGCTGGTTTCAAGCCCGTGGGCTCAGGCAGTCCTCTCACTTCAGCCTCCCAAAGTACTGGGATTATAGATGTGAGCCACTGCGCCCAACCAGAAAACCAGCTTTGAATGGAAGAGCAAAATACAGCAGAAATACAGAGAGAAGATCCAGTGGATTTCACAGGGACGTTACAGGGATTAAATAGGATCATGGCTATGAAAACTCTACCAATATAAAATGTGCCCTATTAGCATGTGTTATTGTAGTAAGCAGTCCTTAAAGGTATGATAGCAGGCATGCAAGGCAAGACCGTTGAACTGGCAAATGAAAGAATTTAGAAATAGCGTGCCTACTGAGAAGAGAGCCAGTGAGAATCAACACCCATTGTATGGGTTAGTCATTTGTAGCAACAGCTTGCCCTAAAAGATGTTTGACAACGTGTTTGAGGCTAAGAGGGCTTTGGTAAAAACTCAGGCCCAAGTATCTGGTCAGAATGTCTTGTCGTCATTATTTGTGAAAGAAAATGACCAAATCAACTGTGTTGAGAAAGGTTGACAGGTTCAGCATGCTGTCAAATAATTTGTTGATAGGTTTTGAGTACTGTCCAGTATTCTGGGCACCCTGGCTGGGGACCTTTAAAAATGTCTGGTCTGCTTGGTAGTCCAGTCCTTTGAGTAGTAGAGATGGGAGCTGGGCTCTCAGAACTCAGTGACATCAGCCATCAGGGTCAGCTCATTAGAGACCCTTGCTTTGTTTCCGTGCCCACTATAGTACCTTCTGATATGAATCCCAGGTATATTTTCCTCTTGGGAGAAGAATGCACTCATCAGAAAACATGTATTTCTGGTTTGTTGGCAGGCCTTTTTCTCAGGGTAAGGCATGAACTATCGCTCTCCTGTGTATTTGTTAGCTTGTTGCAGTCCCTCAGAGCCCAACTCTGAGTCATATTAAGAGCTTCTGGACCTTCAAAGCTGAGGCTCGGAACCTCTTCCCGGAATCTACCAAATAATGACCCATTTGACAGCAAGTCAGCTGACCTTCCTCTCTGTCACTCTAAATTGTTTCCTTATGTCATCTATAGTAACTATCCTCACTAGCTACCATATACATTTAAAGTTTTTCTATCTTTCTCTATCATCCCTTCTTTCCTTCCTTACCCTTATTTTTCTCCTCCCTCCCTCTCTCCCTCCATCCTTATCTACCTCCCTCCTTCTTTCCCTCTTCCCTCCTATACTTTGACGTATCAATGGGGTTCAGGGCTCAGGAAGTTGTTCTAGTGACAGCAGTGGCTTTGTAGAAATGTTTGCTGGACATGGAAGAGTCATATCTTTATCTACAGATACACTTTTGGAAAAACAATTATTTACCAATGCAATGTTATCATTAATTTTCATCTTTTATCTCAGTTTATCCAACTATTGAAATTGATTATCATATACTCACAGTTATAGATCCATAAATACTCTCTCCATATGATCTGTTTATAAAACCAGTCAGGTGAAAGTATCAGAAGGCAGTACTATATTAGAGAGAGCTATGTCTGTCCACAGCCTGGTAGGAGAATTTAAGAATTCTGTTTTTGGAATCTAGCACATATCTATTGTTTGAACATGAACTTACTTGAGTCAGATCTGCTTCCAGGGTTGCCTTCTGAGTTGGTGAATACTGTCTGAATGGCAAGTTGGATGGCCTTCACCTCGTCCTGAGGTTTTGTTCTGCTCCACTGAATTGAATGGATGTGTTTAGTGCTTTTTGGAGTTCTAACATCACTCTGGTAAAATAATAATAATAATAATAATAATAAAATAATAAGTAAAAGAAATACATGACCAAACAGACACATGTATATAAAATGGGAAGACACCCATGTTACTATATCACTTTAGTTTCACTCCTTAGAACACTATCATAATGTATCAGATAAAACATTCTCAACAGTTGGCCTAAATATGCTAATTTGAAGCTGAATGCAGTGGCTTACACCCGTAATCCCAGTACTTCAGGGGGCCGAGGCAAGATAATTGTCTGAGCCCATGGGTTCGAGACCAGCCTGGGCAACATGGTGACACCTCATTTCTACAATAAATAAAAAAAGTAGGTGGGCGTGGTGGTGCATTGCCTGTAGTCCCAGTTACTTGGAAGGTTGAAGCGGAAGGATTTCCTGAACCCAGCAGGTCAAGGCTACAGTGACCGTGAATGTGTCACTGCACTCCAGCCTGGGTGATAGAGTGAGACTCTGATTCAAAAAAGAACAAAAGGCTAATTTGATTAAAAGAAAAATTTTAACCACTTTATTCCTTTGTAGGTTATAGCACTTCTTCCTAAATGAATTATAACATACATTTTGTAGTAGATATAGTAGTTAAATATGTGATTGTCTTCTTCTAGAACTAAAAAAAATTTTTTTCTATATTTTATTTATTTAGAGTCAGGGTCTCACTCTGTCGCCCAGACTGGAGTACAGTGGCACGGTTACTGCTCACCACAGCTTCCAACTCCCAGATTCAACCAATTCACTCTTCTTGGCTTCCCAAAGTGCTGAGATTACAAGTGTGAGCTACCACACCCAGCCATCCAGAATTTATTATACGTGGCAAATTTCAACTTACTTCTTTGTTTAATAAGAAATAACAATAACAAAAAAATCTTTCCCATATTTAGTACTTGAAAATTGATATATATATTTTTTGAGTCAGAATTTTACTGTCACCCAGGCTAGAGTAGAGTGGCACACTCAGCCACTGTAGCTTCGAACTGATGAACTCAGTCCATCCTTCTGCCACAGCCTTCCAAGTTGCTGGAATCACAGGTGCACATCACTGTGCTCAGTTATTTTTAAAAAAAAATTTATTGTAGAGATGAGGTCTCACCAAGTTGCCCAGGCTGGCCTCGAACTCATGGGCTCAGGCAATCCTCTTGCCTTGGCCTCCAAAAGTGCTGGGATTATAGGCGTGAGCTGCTGTGCCCAGGGATATTTTGTTGAATGAATGAAAATCTGACATCCACTTTTGCTCACTGCTTTGCTTATCTGGGTAACTGGATGAATACAGGCAGTGTGCTGGGGCAAATTTCCCACACTCAGGGTGGGTGGTAGTGGGGAAGGTCACAGACGCAAAAATGGGATGAGACCAAGAGTGAAGAAATGAGGATCAGGAAGGGGAAGGATACTAGGTCAAGGCACGCCACTTTCTTGTCCCAAAATCTCCCTCCTCACCTGGTGTCACACATAAGTGTCACTTAAAGAGTCTCCAGGATTCAATAGGGTTATGAAAATGTATTCTAAAAATCTGAAGTGAAAAATCCAGACACAAGCGGCATGTCATCATGAGTCTAAAGAGGAGGAAAAGAAGGGAGAGGAAAGGGAGAGAGAAGGAGAAGAGGAAAAGAATCAGGCGTGGTATGTCTCCAAAATGGTCTAAGTCAGAGAGAGGTGGAATCTGGCTGCTCTAACTGTCCGGTAACGAAGAAGAAGGCATTTCCTGGATAGTGAGCAGGCTTTAGAATAGTCTAGACACCAAGTTTCTCAAGACCAGTTTTTAGGTCTTGTTTTGTTTGGGTTTTGTACTCTGCAAGCAACACTTTGACAATGTTACTTCTCAAGTGCCACATCTCTGACAACCTGTGCACCCTGACAGGTGAAAACAAATAACTGCTCTAGCACATATTGGCTTTCAGGCCAGATACGTGGACTGGCCAGGGTTCAGTTTTCTTTTTTTTTCTTTTTTTTTTTTTGAGTTGGAGTCTCACTCAATCGCCCAGACTGGAGTGCAGTGGCTGCTTCCAGCCACTGCAGCCTTGACCTGCTGGGCTCCGGCGATTCTTCCGCCTCAGCCTTCCAAGTAGCCGGAATTACAGGCAGGCGCTACCACGCCCGGCTGATTTTTTTATTTATTGTAGAGATGAGGTCTCGCTGCCCAGGCGGGTCTCGAACCCGCGGGCTCAGGCAATCCACTCACCTCAGCCTCCCAAAGACACGGGATTATAGGCTGAGCCACTGAGCCCGGCTGGTTCAGTTTTCTAATACTGAAAAGCCAAACCATGGCAGCTTGGGAAACCATCAAAATACCTCCGTTCATAAAAAGTCCAATTCGAGGCAAACTTGCTTTACTGCAGCCCCTGGGGAGATAACAAACAGGATAGCTAGGAAAGAGTGGAAGGAGTTTTGATAGCCAGAAGACATGGGTGTGACGCCATCAATTCTGTCACCGAGTATCCCCAAACTCAGGACTTCCTTTCTTCTCTCCAATGAAAGTGAAGATAATGATATCTGTCTTTCAGTATTTAGGTGAAGTTAGTGAGATCAAACAGGTGTAAACGCCTCTTACAGTGCCTGGTTCATGGTAAATTCTTTTTTGCTTTAAAAAAATTTTTTTTTGACTTGGAGTCTCACTCTGTTGCCTAGGCTGGAGTGTAAGGGCATGCTCATGGCCACTGCAGCCTTGATCTGGGTGACCCTTCCACCTCAGCCTTCCAAGTACCTGCACCACCATGCCTGGCTAATTTTTTGATTTATTGTAGAGATGAGGTCTCACCAAGTTGCTCAGGCAGTCCTCTCACCTTGGCCTCCCAAAGTGCTGGGATTATAGGCGGGAGCCACCATGTCCGGCCCGGTAAATCCTTTTAAAATCACTGAGTTGGAGTCTTACTTTGTTGACCAGGTTGGAGTGCAGTGGCATGATCACAGCACAACACAGCCTCAACCTCCTGGGGTTAGGTGATCCTTCCACCTCAGCCTTCCGAGTATCTGGGACTACAAGTGTGTGCCATCATGCACAGCTAATATTTTATAGTGCAGTGGCATGCTCACAGCCACCACAGCCTCAGCCCACTGGGCTCAGGCAATCCTTTTGCCTCAGCCTTCCAAGTAGCTGAAAGTATAGGTGCATGCCACCATGCCCAGCTAATTTTTTTTATTTATTTTAGAGACAAAGTCTCACCAAGTTGCCCAGGCTGGTCTCGAACCCCTGGGCTCAGGCAATCCTTTCACTTCCACTTCCCAAAGTGCTGGGATTACAGGCATGAGCCATCACGCCTGGCTGATTTTAAAAACATAATTAGGTTCTTTCTCTCTACTGTTTAAAACGCCTCTTGACTTCCCACGGTGCTTATAGTAAATCCAAATTCCTTACTGTGGCCTGCTGGTCTCTATGATCTGGCCCTATTCACCTCTCAAAAGCCTTGTCTTTGTACTCTGTGCGCCGGGGACTTGCACTGACTATTCCTCTGCTCTTCTCTGCTGTCTCCTCCTCAGAGGAGAGGTCTTCCCTGACCACCCAGTCTAATGCCCCCTGAGTCACACATTTTCCGTTTGCCACCTATCATCTTCGACATGATTTACTTATTTGTTACTTATTTATATCTATTTCCTCTCAACACTAGAATATAAGCCTCAAGAGAGACTAGACCTAGTCTGCCCTAATCACAGAACAGTACAGTCAGCAGGTACTGCTAAATGCATGAATTTTAATTTTAATAGCATTTTAAAAAAATTATACTTTTTTCTATTTTTTTCCATATAAAATATGTGGAACCTGGTCATCTGTTTTGATAACAGACATCCACCAGGTGGTAGTGGGGGTTGTGCTCTGTTTTTGTTTTTGAGCCGGAGTCTTGCTGTGTTGCCTAGGCTGCTATCCTCCTGCCTTAGCCTCCCAAGTAGCTGGGACTATAGTTGTGACCTGACACACCTAGCTGTGTTCCCTGCTTCTGAAGAATAATTGATTTCCCCTCACCCATAAACTCTACATACCAAGAAGGCTTTAGTCACTGTTTGGTACCCCCAGTGCTTAACATCTTACATGATATGTAGAAGGTGCTCAGTTAATAACTAATACAGGCCAGGCTTGGTGGCTCAGCCTGTAATCCCGTGCTTTGGGAGACCGAGGTGAGTGAGTTGCCCGAGCCCGCGGGTTCGAGACCTGCCTGGACAACTTGGCGAGACCTCACCTCTACAATAAATCAAAAAAATTAGCCGGGTGTGGTAAGCGCGCCTGTAGTTCCAGCTACTTGGAAGGCTGAGGCGGGAAGATCGCCAGAGCCCAGCAGGTCAAGGCTGCAGTGACCGCTCCCGGCCACTACACTGCAGTCTGGGTGACTGAGTGAGACTCCAACTCAAAAAACAAACAAACAAAAACAAAAAAATGAATACATGTATTTACTGCATCAATCTGTATCTAGTTAAGCTTGTCCTGTTCTCTTTTCGTCCCGACACTTGGTTAGAAAAATTATTTTTATATTCCCATATTCATGTTTGTTAAATAGTTTTTCTCTCAACAATCGTGAGTGGTGACTCATGCCTGTAATGCCACACTTTGGGAAACTGAGGTGAAAAGAATGTCTGAGCCCAGGAGTTCGAGGCCACCCTGGGTAAGTTGGCCAGACCTTGTCTCTACATTAAAAACAAATAAAAGCCGGGCATGATGGTGTCCACCTGTAGTTCTAGCTGCTTGGAAGGCGAGATGGGAGGATCGCCTAAGCCCAGCAGGTCAAGGTTGCAATAGTTGTGATTGTGTCTCTGCCCTCTAGCCTGGACCACAGAATGAGACTCTGACTCAAAAAACAAAAATACAATTAAATAGTTTCTCTCCTAATAAATTCCAACAAACTATAAGCACTCTGAGGCAATGGATAAATCCCTAGTCATTAGCTGGTGGTGAAGCCACCAGCCTCCCTCCCCTAGAGCTTACCTCATATGTGATGGTGCACTCCACAGTCTGATTTTCCCCTATTCCTTTGATCCATTTCTCCATGACAAATGGTGGCTGAAGAACAAAAGTTAGGATGGTGTAGTACCATAATACAGACTGCTCTGCTATGGTGTGTTTCTTTGAGGCCAATTGTGTCATACATGACAAATAGGAGCATAATATCAGATTATCATGAAAGCCATGCTGCTTCCCATGTGACTACTCACAACATGCTAATGTTTGGGTTTTGTTTTTCATAAGACATCTTTTTGTATATTTGTAAATGGCTAGTCATGGTCTCCCACAACCTTCTCTTTTCTGATATAACATTAGCTATCACTCAGTCTCATCATTAGGTCATTAATTCATACCAATGTTTGCAGCATCAGCAGAAAGCTTTCTCATAATTAAGAGAAAGCCACAGCACTATAAGAAGACCCAGAAGTGCCTTCCTTGAGCGAGGCAGTGGTTGGTTTAGTGGCTTCAACAATCACTCTGCTTTCCACTATATCAGGCTATCTAGCACAGCTATGCATACATGTGTAGACACTGTGGTAATATTTACACACTATATCAAAACAAAGGGTTAGGGAAGAAGCCTATACCTTGGGTCCCATTTTAATGTTTTTTTTGTTTTGTTTTTTGAGTTGGAATCTCACTCTGTTGCCCAGACTGGAGTGCAGTGGCTGCTCCTGGCCACCGCAGCCTCGACTTGCTGGGCTCCAGTGATCCTTCCGCCTCAGCCTTCTGAATAGCCAGAATTACAGGCATGCGC